ACTGTTGGTGGATTAGGATAGTATGTCCAATAGGTGTCCCCTCAGGTTATACTTACTGGTAACCTTAACAAGAACAGATATGGCTCCACAGTGAAGACAGAAGACTGAGCTGATTCAGTGAGTTATACAGGTATATCTGCATATCTATTTGAATATACTATAGTTTATATAAAAAGTACAGGATAACTCATCTTCAACTAATATTTAGTTTACTTTGTAAACTCCAACTCAAACCCCCAGCATTGTTGTTAGAGAGGTTTTTGAACCAGATTGGCTGGCATCCCAGGTTTCCAGGTAAGGGGTTGGGCCCAGAATAAGCAGGTCTGGAAAGTGGCAGCATAAACCTGGGTACAAACACTGCCTCCCAACTTCCAGGTTGTGGGGTTATGGGGCAGGCTTTCAGTCCCCCTTGGCGTTTCACTTTCTGTCTTTAAAGCAGGAATAAAACTGCACAGGATGTTATGAGATTATATGAGATGATGTATGTAAGGCACCTCGCCGAGCCACTGGTTCACTCATCCCCCTTTCCTCTTTCATCCCTTTCCACCTTCCAACACAGTCTAATGACTTGTTCAAGCCTCAAAATACCCAGATTCCATGGGTTTGGGAACAACGTGGTAAAATAGTCACTTATCTAACTCTATCTTAAACAATTGGAATAATTTTATTACTATAACATTTAACTATTATATCCATGTACTACAAAAAAGTTTTCAAAGCCTTTCAACAAAAGCCCAATAAAGGGGGAAAAAAGCCATTTCTGACTTTTTCCTGGTAATATTTGCTTGTGACTTCTTCATTTGGTCAACTGCTAGCCCTCACAGAAGTAATTTCATTTCAATAAGTATTTCTTGAGTGCCTGAGTGCACCCTTCTGGGCATTGATAATACATCAGTGAACAGTAAGAGCTCACTGAAGATTTACAGAGAGGAAAAATGTAATTAAGAAAACATGGTGGAATTGTTTTTTAATCAATTGAGACAATATCATTATTCCATTTTA